TTTATCATTTATAAGGGTTTAGAGAAATATTATCATGAAGCTGTCACTTCTGGATTAAGCGAAGAAGACCTTAGCGAACTCTCTTGTGAACATGATGAGCTTTAGTCTGTCATGTTAAGGGCATCGTCCCTCCTACTCAGTATGTTGCTTGTTTTGTTTATCTCAACTGACTCCACTTGCCAATGGAGTCTCCTTATCAGGCAAGACTTTGAGTTCTATACCGCTCTATCACATGATCCACCTTAGAATATTGAATCCATAAAAATATTTAGGCGAATGTGTGTAACTGCTGTATGAGTCGATAAATCTCACCACATAGACACTATTGCATTAGCACAAAACCTTATAACAACGTGGACTACAGAGAAGAGCTGAAGCTTCTCTAAAAGAAGCTATGACCAAGGAAAGCGTAAATCTCTCTTTATACATGGCTCTGAGGTTCCACTTTCCCAGTAGCCCACTTATCTTATTAAAAGCTTGCAGGGCAGCGGAAACAGGGACGTAGATGAAGTCGTATAAGTAAAGAATTAATTCTAGTGGAGAGACGTTCTTAATCAGTTTTTCATGACATTTGAATCTCTTGATTCTGGTGAATTAGTCTGTTAGAGGCAAACCACTTGCTTTCATTGATTTAATAACTCTTACTCGTGGCCCAACAAGAATGTTATATAAGAAAATAGGGAGACTCACATTCATTAATCGCTTCAGCACATCTAAATCCAATTTCTTTGCCTCCTTATGAATTAAGACATCTAAATATTTAAATTTACTATCCTTTCCTAACCGCACTGTAGAATTCGTCTATTCATTTACTTAAGGAACTTCTTTAGCTTAACTTTGCCGTACTACCAAATGACAAAGTAACCGTCTATATTCATGAATAATAACTTAGGAACTGAAAGTGCTTTTTGAGTTAGACGAATGTCTAACTAAAGCATGTAGTTATTCACACTGGACTCACTCATTCTCCGCTTAGCAGCAGGTTTTAAACCACTCTATCCGGTGTCCTGTACTAACCACCTCCGATTTCTGGGCAAATAAACCTTTTCAGGTGGTTCTTTGGTCAAATAACAGGGCCGAATTTACTAATCCCTTCCACCAGTTTCTTCAGACGATTTCAAGCCACTTTAAATTGTATAAGGTGATGAAGACTGATAGTAGGATTTTTCTACAATCATATGATCAGGCCTCATATTTTCATTAAATCGCACCCAGCTATGTCTCCTAAAAGGTATATCATCCAACTGGATTGGTAGTCTCAAAATTTGAATCCTATGAAAATAGAAATTAATGTCATGCTGACATCATTGCGATTAGTTTACCTCATAGGCATTAATACAAGGTTAATCCCGCTGCCAGAGTTAAATGATAAAATCATTTGATCTAAGGTTTGGGGCGAGAAAATGGCTATCATCAGCAAGAGTAAAAATTAACGGATATACATTATAATTGCACCGTATGATAAAATTAAAAATGAAAATGAAGTTTCTATACTAAGTTGTTTTAGCCAAAGGATCTCAATCGGCTCCTGTTGTGGAAAGTGGTGTCGGGTGCCAGAGGTGAGAATACCACACCCATCAAGAATCGGTTTATTTGGCGCAGTAGCAACTACACGGCGGTCTAGGCTGGCAGGCCGACTATCGAGAAGCTGATGAAGAGCTTCAAGACCAGCCGTCACCAGCTGGTTTGTCGGCCCCGCCCCAACAAGACCACTTTGAGAAGCAACCGTCGACATAGCCACACCGTTGCTTGCCCAGCCTGGAAGGTAGTATGGCAATTTGGTAGAGTCAATATTGAAGTTGGGAGTCCAGTCGGCGAGTGGGAGGAGACAAGCATATGCAAGACAGGTATGGAGGGCGGCAGACCAAAGCAGACTGATCTGGTCAAAAGGCTGCCCAAGAGGAAGAATGTCACCTGAGAGACAAAGAGATAACTTTGAATAAGCTGCGAAGGATCACTCATTCTCCGCTTAGCAACGAATACTTCATATCCTACATAACAGAGTGAACAAATGTTTCTTCAAAATATAGTTAAATTTAAAGGATTTACGGAAAGCAAATAAGTACTAGTATTTTGTCATTCCGAGATGAAAAGCATACTTTTATGATTCGCCGACTAGAAAGATTAGGAGATGAGCGTAAAAAAATAGATTTTTCGAAATTTCCCAAGTATTGCATAATATGATGAGCTCAAGTTATAAATGTCATTTGTTGTATCTTCAAAGAATGACTCAAACAGCCAAGCTCGTATGCTTCGTCAATAAAAGGCACATTGTGTGTCAATCAGTAATTATAAGTCGGAATATAGAATAAAGCAATTTTATCTAACCCAGATGGAGAGGTATACTTTAAAGAATGCTATAAAGGTTGAACAATTTTCACAGAGAATGAATGCATATTTTTACTTTACCCTTGCTTAGCTGAGGTCAACGAGTAATAAACTTGATTTTACTTGTTCGCCTATGCCACACTCTAGCTAATCAAATTAGGGTAGTCTCCAAAATCCATTTTTTAAAGTGTTTTTAAGAATAGTATCAAAAAAAGCCTTGAGAAATATTGTAATTGTTTCACCTTGTTTTCAAATCTTGGTCATATTGGCAGGAGGAACTAGATGAACGCCCCTTTTCCGGAGTCCATAGTATGCATGCTAATTTCCAGTCGGACCGTGGACTTGTTACATTCTCAGAAGTTTTTCCGGCATCGTCAGTGAGCCTTGCCATTCTTAGCACCACACTACAACGCCTAAGAGACAGGTCGATTCTTTGACCAATTGTCTGCTAAACAATTGTGGTATGTCTCCTTCTATTCTGGGGTATTCACCTATACTATATCGTCCTATCATCCCTTCAATATCATAATTTCTCACTTGTTTATCTAAAACTATTAGAAACCTATTCACACTCCCCGCTGTTTCCCACATCCCTCCGACTGTGCCGAGAGTGTTGGTCGCAACCCTTAAAGTCTGGACTCCCAATTGGCATGGAAGCCTATCTTGACGGTGAGTGCCGAGTAAATCCCATGGTCAAGCCTTTACATCATCGACCATGTCTATGATCAAACTTATCTAGCAATAGCCAACTAGCAATGGTCTCCACCGTATCTCTCGCTCTTCTATCCCTAATGCCAAGTCTATGACTTTCTTAAGCCCAAGTAGAATTATATAATTTGGGGATCGGTATGCAAGGGACTTGGGCATAAGAAAGTCATAGACTCGGCATTAGGGATAGAATAGCGAGGAAAACGGTGGAGATAATTGATAGTTGGCTATTAGTAGATAAGTTTGATCATAGACATGATCCATGAAGTAAAAGATTGACCACAAGATTTACTCAGTAGACATGTCGCACAGTGATAAGGGAATGTGCAGCGTCAACGAAAGGAGACCGTGACCATGCAAAAGACCATTCCATCTTGGTTGTCATACCTTCGATCGAGTAATATTACCCAACAGATTTTAACGATCCAAAACTTAAATTCTTACCACCAGAGCTCCAGGGTCCATGGAATATAGAAAATAGCAAATCGCTTAGTATGCCGATCATGTTATGTGCGGAAGAAGAGATGTTGGTGTCTGTCTTAGACACCTTTATCACAAAATTCTTATTAGCCATCTTTATAAACGCAAGGAGGTAATCAAAACATCATGCATAACCACTTTGTATCGTCTCACCATTTGACAAGTGGTCCATGTTCTCCTTTGAGCATCCGCTACCCAGCCAGTCAGCTGATATCTGCTCCCCTTCAACAACGCCGGACTTTGCATCAGGCTCAGGGTCGCCAAAGCACAATTGTCCAACCCGTTTTGATACCCCAGCCCCGTCCAAATGGCTCGGCGCCAGTGGCATTTGTTGATAGGCTAGAGCCAGATGGCGAACAGCCTGAAGCTCTCCTTGAAGGCGCGCTGCCTCATTAGCATGTACTTGGGGAAACGGTGCGTTACCAAATCGATTTTCAGCGTAACCACGACTGGTCGAGCCTACTTCTTGAGCAAAGCTATTTAAATTTGTGGAAGGGGATGCCGTCAATGGCAGAACTGAGCTGCTTAAATCAGCTATTATCGAAAAGACAGAAATGGAAAAAAATGTCAGTTAAAAATAAAAATTAAAAAAATTCGTAATTAAGAGGACTTCTTTTTTTATTAGTAAAAATCTGAGCCAGATAGGATCAAACTAAAAGTTCCAAAATTTTTAAGCACATGATTAATTTAAAGGAAGTAGTTCGTAGGTAAGTTTTAAATATAAGATGCATTCATACTATATCGTTTGAGATTGAGGGAAGCTTAAGTAGTGTAGCGTATAGTCTCAAACCGTTAAATACTACGCCAAACTGAATGCAGCTCTTTTATCATATCTACTAGTAGTCTCAAAAACATGATTACAAACTGAAAAGAAGTAGTGTAGTTGATCGCGAAAGCAAATGGAACTTTGTTTCGTCGACAATCCCAACACAGAAATGTGCTATGGGAAAGACCTAGGCTACTGGAAATTACCTTTTGACATGTGAGCCAAAGTCACCCATGCTAGTGTGACGTAGGAGCTAATGTGATCATAGTCTGCACTAACCTGGTTCAAGCCTCGCTGATGAGACCTAGGCTAGGTAGAAATTGCAATCCTCCTAGAATAACAATACCTTCTATGAGGCAGGGCTATATAAAATTCAATGGAGACATAAAGCCTATTCATATCATGAAGAAAAGGTGGGTTTCGAAGAATAACTTGTAGTTTGAATACCTTTCATTTCGTTTGAAGAGGCGAGTGAAAGAGATTTGGAAATTTGACTCACCTGAAGCTGTAGAAGGATTGTCTTGAAGCTGTGACTGTGGAATTTACGAATATATACTCGGCTCATCGCCCCGTGACCCCGATGAATCCTTGTAAAGCTTTCGTCCGTCGCGTGACGGACATCACGGACAACACAAGGCTAAGTTAGGTGACCGACCTCAAGCCTACCTACTTCTTATAGCCAAACTTGGTCCATTTAATGAGGCATATCATTACTTAGTGGGTGCATTTTCTAAACGTTTACTGAAAAGTTGTGGTTGCGGATGGCATGTGAATTGGTTGCAGATTAAGCGATAAATGGATGTAATTGTCACCTAACAGCTGCATCCACCCCCAAAGCACTTATATTTCTAATCCAATAATGTTACCCTATGTGATCGCGTTCCACTGTACACATACTATGTGAATTTACTGCTCTTGAATTGAATGAGATGTGATAACCAAATCCAGATTCGAGTCTAATAAAGCTACCTACTCTTGCTCGGCGGTCCTCATTCCTCTATCTGTCTAGTCCTATCCAAAAGCGACAGGTAGTTTCCGCATAATTTCATACACTCATACCTTCTATAAGGGTGTTGGCTGCTTTGCTGATTCCTATAGTTTCCATAAGCTTCCGCTTATTATATAATCTCTGTATCCAGTAAAACATTTGGCATTTGATCAGTCCATCGGGTGTCCAGTAAGAGGTATGTACTTGGCCAATTCCGATTTTTAAACCTACAAACACTTGCAAGCTGTTCTTTGTTCAGACGACGTATTATGTTTGTACCCGCAGAGATCTCCCACACAAGCGCTACTGCATGAATACAAAATCATTCTTGAAAACAGGCATTACTGAGGAAACACTTATTTTCTCTTTATAAAGGGTCCTGAAGTACCACCGGCTCAGTAATTTGCCTATCTTCTTAGACAGATAACACGAAGGCAACATGCCATGTTGCCAAATAGCAAATTAATCGTCCATATAGCGAACTAATAAAGTAGGAACTAAAAGTGCCTCCTAAATCAAGCGTTCCTCAAACTGAGCCATGTAATTACTTGCTAAAAGTTGTGACAAACACGATCCCATAACTAAACCTCATGCTTGTTCGTACAGTTTACTATTAAAGGTAAAATATGTACAGTACATCGCCAGGTTGGTCAGTATCATTAATGATCCTTTACTTAATTTTGTGCTCATTAAAATCTCCGCGTGTTGGCTTAGTGTGGATTTCAGGGCCTGCATGGCATCGTCTACAGGAATGTTAGTGCACTCAACATTAAAACTGGCCAGCAAATCACCACTGGTTATGAATAAATCGTGATGTTTTATGCATCACGCTACTCTTATTATCTATAATAGTTCAAAGTTAGACTTAATCTTTATGTCTTTTTGGCAGACCATATGCATTCGGAGACGTAGCACCTCGTTGAAGAGTGTTCATCTTCCACTTCTCCAGTTCCCCAGTTTGTTGTCTGCCAAAAATAAATAAGGAGTCCCACATAGAAGTATAGAATTATAATAAGGGTAGCGTGATGCAATAAAAATCACGATTAATTTGTCACCGGTTAAAGCGCATCTCCGTGATGTGGAGAATTTCAATTAAGAATTATTATGAATTCGTCGACGAGCAGGAGATCGAAAGTGGGGATTTTGTTATAAATGTTGATGTTAATTATATGTATACTAACATTCCTGTAGACGACACAACACAGGGCGCTTCACCGAGAAATTATTCTCACAAATCTCCAGTCACAGCTCCAGGGCAATCCACCTATAGCTTCCGGTAAGGCCAACTTTCGAATACCTTCCATTCGTCTTCTTAAAGGAAATTAAAGGTACTGTAAAGAAAATATATTAAGATATTCTTCGAAACCCAGTTTTTATGCATTATATAAGTATGCCTCAAGGCTCCATTGAATTTTATATAGCCCTGCTTT